TTTTGCGAATTACTATCTTCTTTGTTCATTCAAATTACAATGTTTTTACTCATTGTCAGTCAACTTTGTATTTAATGTAAATATTAGAATGCGTACATACTGTTGAGGAAATTAGCTCAAAGCAATCTATTTAAACGACAATTTAATAACTGGCGGTAAAATCAATTTTATTATTAATTAATACGATTTATCTAATAAAGACTAAGCCTAGTAGCCTAAAGACTAAGTGATATTTAATGTAGGAGAAGTAGGTAAATAGCCACTTTCTATAACTTGTTTGCCAATTATAGTTAGATGTTTAAATGTTTCTTATGTTTACTCCTAACGTTTACTTGTAATATATTATATATATTTATATTACAAGTAAACTAAAAAAGTATATATATGTCATGTTTAAATATCAAAACTAGCGACATACCCCCCCATTAAGGGATGATTTCTGGGATAAAACCCTATCCTTCCCTGTTCTTACCAGGGTCTAAAACTATCTTTTCACCAAATTTCATCTAAATCGGTCCAGTAGTTTCGGAGCATATTTAGTACAAACAAACAAATCTTTACTCTTTATAATATTAGTATAGATAACTTTAAAATCAAGCGATTTATCCTACAGCAACGAAAAGAACAAAAGATCGCCGTTTCCCGAAGACGGAAATGGCAGTGACTATTTTTACGGAACGCTAGTTCTATATTTACAGTGTTGAATACTACCTGCATTCTAAACTCGACCTTATGAGCTTTGCGAACCGGAAAAGAAAGCAAATTTAAAGTTATCTTAAGGCAAATAGAAGTTTGTTGTGGACGTCCATACATTCATTAGTGGCTATTTCCATCAAAAACCGTCTGAGTAGATGTCGGCGGTGCAGAACAACGCGCCTTATACTCTTCATAATATATCAAAGAACGGTTATGTTTATGTCTTTGAAAAACTTTTTCATGTGGCAATAACATAATGTTTTACTATGTATGTATATGAATGTATAATGGCTCATTAATTAATTGTCTCAATGGGTTGTATAATATCCATACTAATATTATAAATGTGAAAGTATGTTTGTTTGTTTGTCCTTCTTTCACGTCAAAACGGAGAGGCGTATTGGCGTGATTTTTTGTGTGGAGATAGTTGGAAGGCTGGAGAGTGACATAGGCTACTTTTTACCGCGGGACATTATCTATTTCCCACGGGAAAACACGTTATAGTACAATACAAAAAATATTTATGATCAGAATTACTTGAATCTTGGTATTAATGCTCTTCAATAAAATTAAATAAGTACGTGTTTTAGCATTTTTTTGAAATTCATCCTATAAGGGGGTAAAATAGGGGATGAAAGTGTGTACGACTCTACCTTATTAGGGATTTTTTGTAATTTTAGTGCGAACGAAGCCGCGCGTTCTGCTAGTAGATTATAAATGCAATTGACATATATTTTGATTTGTAATTTCATTTATTATTTCGACACAATTTATAAAAACTTTTTAACAAAAAAATAAAAACCGACTTCAAACAAAAGCACTAAAAAGTAAAAAATAACTGATTGGTAGTTTTCATTTACTATACATACCTAATCAAATATATTCGAAGTCGGTGTGCTTTGCTTTATATGGCCTGGCACCGATTTCGAAAATATTTGATTAGGTATGTATTTAAAAGGTAGGCTTTAATTACTTAGCCAAAAAAAACAAAAAACATACAGTCGAATGGAGAACCTCCTCCTTTTTGAAGTCGGTTGAAAAATCTAAAAGCATTTCCTATATAGCATATCCTTGACTATCTCCTTCCAAGACACATTTACTGTTATATTTATAACATGTATATTGTATTTAAAGTTATATATTTGTAGTGTATCAACTATCTGGTATCCATAACACAAAGGCCTCGTAGCTTGCCATGGAACTAGATGGTGATGTGTGTTAATGTCCCAACATATTTATTTATTTATTGGAATTATTTTAAACGATTATTATGTACCTACCGATCACATATTATGTGAAATGTTAATAGAACATAAATACACACATAATGTATGTACATAATATGAGGTTTTCCTGCTACTATAATTATTATTATTATTCATGGTTGACATAGATTTGACAGTTCGTCGACGTTATAAATAAACGAAACAAGCTCAATTCGCACACAAAGTGATCAAACGGTCCTTGAACTTGACAATATCACAATTAATCTAATGTGTTAGCACTTGATTATTTCGATAGAAAAGTGTTAAAGTTCTTGAATGAAATAATGTTTGTTAACAATTGAAATAAATTGATGATGAAACAAAAACCTGTTTAGATAGAATTTATTCATATCTTATGTATTCGAACAAAAAATCTTTATCAAAACTCCTTTTTACTATTAAAATTATATAGGTATTATACTTTGGAGTTTGGGACAACAATCAATCACCAAAATTGTTTATTCGATTTATTTTTTAATGTATTTTCAAAAATACATGCCATAAAAGCAATAAATATTCTAACGCTAACATGCGACATTAGATACTAGATAAAACTAAGGTATTATAAGCCGTATTAAATGAATCGATAGACCGCTTACATTATACACGCGTAGCGGTACTCCCTGAATGGGAGTGCGGTAATTTCTGACTCGCCACTCAAAACTTAATAACTTGGTCACCACCACTCCCACGAGCGCTAGACTGAGCTCGCGTGCTCGCCAGTCCCATGTAACTGGATGGATCAATACCGCTATAGCTAGCATGAACTTTGCGAACCGACTGCTTCAAGGACGACGGAGCAGATGCCTTCCAATATAAATAGCCTTATGGATATTACCTTTTAACGATTCTTTATAAGAACCAGATGTAAAGGTGGTTCTAAGAGTCGAGGATAACAGAAACTGTTTTTATACTTCTATAATAAAATTACTGCGTGTTTTTTTTAAATAATTAAAATAACTTACACACAAGGCAATCAAATAATAAATACATAGCTACAATAAAAAATAAAAATAGCAAAATATGTTGGGAAAGAACTTCTTTATGACTGTGTGTAAGTTAATACGCTTAGCTAATCTGTTTAGCGTTGCATTTTCCGTTTCCGGATACAACTGTGACAAAACCAATTGAATATCGCCTTTTATTTCTCATCATCTCATTTACATCCTAAAGTAATATTAGATTATTTTTTGAACTAACTATAAAAGCTAGTATTTTCCATTAACTGTAGACTGTGGCGCAACTATGCAAAACGACCGTGTAAAGAAACAGGAGATGAAAGCACTAAATAAATAAGAAGCTTTGGTTCCAGCCTGTATTCCCATAATATGTGAAGCTGTCAGAGTTTACGTTTTCGCACGTATAATATCATTATCATGATCATGGAATTTTGCTTTTAGTTTATTTTGCTGATAACAGACGATAAAAGTATCGTTGAAATTGGAATGGAAAATGAACCTGCGACCTACACAAATAAATATGTGAACATATAAAGTAGAATCCGCTTATCATCGAAGGGAAATGACTAACACTTCATAGTGCATACTAAGCGGACATCATACAGAGCATATTCTTAGAAAATATATACCTAACTTACTATTTTTGTTAGGTATTTAGTTTAATACATAGTTTAAATCTTTTAAATAAAAGAAACACAAAACAAACATACATGCATATCTATTAAAAAAACAATAAAAAAAAATACATAATACATATATACCTACAGACTGAAATATTGTAATGTATGTAACATTACATATTTTTTATTTTTTTACATAAGGAATTCATAATTTTGTTTGCTTTTGTTTTTTCTTTGTTTAGATCAAAATAAAGGTCTCTATTCTCTAACACTTTTGTGTAAAGAAGACATTGCCCTGGTCAAACATAGGAATCATATCGATCACTAAAACGGGCATAATTTCTTTAAAATAGGTCATAAGAAGCGACACTGTAAGCCATTATATCCGACTTTGTCACAAAGATTTTTTATAGAAACCAAACTTCGCACTGTAATAACGTCATATTATCGGTTGGTCACAGCCGGAGGAGTATAGACGTGGTCATAATAAATGGATTCCACTGCACTATCGTACTAGTTTGCGTATTAAAACCTGTTAAAGTAAGCTATTGAATCATATTTTTACCGAAACATTACATTGTTTACATAATAATAGCCACATATTACATTGTATAGATAATAATAGTTATAAAATGTGTGTATTTTCTTTATTTTACAACAGATAAGTGTTAGACTTTAGACTTTAGAGTATTTAGAATTCACATTATGATGTGAAGTTTCTAAAATACAATGTCATTTTGAAACGACGATGACTTAACGTAGTAATGGTAGGTATATGGTTTCAAATCGAAACTGTTTAAAAACAATCTGTCGGTTTGTCTAATGAGCTCATGTTGAATATTGGCTCAATATTACTGCACTTGCATCGGTGTAATCAAATATCTATAATATTATAAATAATATTTATAATTACAGCTATCTTTTAATATATCTATCTATCTTTTAATATATTTATGCCATCGTACTGAAGTTCATTATTATTAAAATTAATCTAAACTAATATTATAAAGAGGTAAAGTTTGTGAGATTGTGAGTTTGTGACGTTGTAGGGGGTAATCTCTGGATCTACTGAATCGATTTAGATCAGATTTGGTAAGAAGATAGTTTAAGATCCTGAGGAGGGCATAGGATACTTTTTATCCCGAAAATCATCCCTTAAGGGTGGCGTGAAAATGGGGTTAAAAGTTTGTATGGGGAATCAGGCTAGGGACGAACCCGAGCGAAGTGAGGGGGAGTCGCTAGTAGACTTATATTTTTCTAGCGATAGGCCTGAGACCTTTACTATTTCCCGCTCATCTATCAAACGGAATTACCTGAAATAAACAAGTGGTCACTATGAAATAGCATAGCGCTTTCTTTGTAAACGTGCTTTTATAGATATATTTGTAGCGCAGACATTGGTTATAAATAACTATGTATTAGTGTAAAACAAAACTTGTTAATAAGATCCCACTACCAACCTCATGATCCCTGTAGAACGGCTCTTGAAGATTATCCGGTACCCGGTTATTGAATGCCTTCGACAGCAGCCATTTAATCGACGCTCGCTGCTTTGACTGAAACAAACAATATAAGTTTTAGCCAACACACTCGACAGTATAATATAAATAAATAGAAATTTACAAAGTCCAAACAATGTAATAATATAAATATTTAAATATGCTATTATAGTTGAAGATTAATTCACATTAAATCTTTATTGCCTGTGAAATCAAATTCAATTTTTCTTTTCCATATTTGACTTCGAATAAAACCATGTTGTTAAAACAACGTTATGTTGTACATTATAAGTTTATTTAATAAACACGATTAAAACGTTTGAATAAATATTTTCTATCTTGTATTTATTATATGAAGAGCTACAAGTGTATTAATTAAAGATAACACTCTTAAGCCTCATTTGATATTTCGTACATGAAAAGCTGTTTTATAACTAACTAGCAGATGCCGCGGCTTCGCTCGCGCTAAAACTAAAAACAATCTCTAAAAAGGTAGGTTTCATACAAACTTTCATTCCATATCTTACCCCCTTATGGGGTAAATTTGGAAAAATGCTAATACACATAGATATTTATTTAATTGCATTGAAGAGCATTAATACCAAGTTTCAAGTGATTCTGATCATAAATATTTTTTTGGGTTGTATTATAACGTGTTTTTTCCGTGAGAATGAGTATCCCGCGAAAAAAGTAACCCATGTCACTCTCCAGCCCTCCAACTATCTCCACACAAAAAAATCACGCCATTCCATCAATCCGTTTCGACGTGATAGAAGAACAGCCAAACAAACAAACAAACGCACTTTCACAATATTAGTATGGATTTTATTACTTTATGTACATACATACGTTTCTTAACACTTAGATTCATACACGTACGTAATTTTTCATTGCGAATACGCAACAAAAAATGAAGATATGAAAATCACTTTTTAAAATGGGTTCACAAAGGCTTGAATGGCCATTGAGGCGACTGGCGATTGCGACAATTATTGTTAAACGCTACGAGTATATTATGGTAATGTCCGCTCATTGTGTACGTTGATCAGTTAACTGCCCTAACATTTGTCCGGTAGATTGTACATAAGGTAAGTAGATTTCATATTGAAGGGATGATTTTACAATCATGAGAGTTCGATTCCAGTGTAGTGCAAAAACTGTATTAGCTATACAAATAATAGTTGTAGTTTGGATGTCAGAGTTGCGTCTCGCGTCTCCGGCCTCTAATGAACAGTAAAACTATCAACCAAGTGTGAATACGTTTATTTATGTAGCTTGTCCTTGTTGATAGAGCTTAAAACTTACTAAAAACAATGAAATTTAAGTAAAAAAACACTTGAGCGATTTTACTTAGCCAATCAATACAAAAAAAGGCATTCACTTCACTAGCCGTAACGCGACCTAACGTGGACCAAATGAAGTATCTATTACTGTCTAGCGTTGCCCATATAATTGACAAACTCTTGTTTAGGGCCCGCAAACGAGACTCAGGACAATCAACCGACGTCTAGCAGAACTTAAGGGCTTAGACAAAATACATTCCACAGTCGTTAAAAAACTAAATCTGTACATATAATAAAATTGTAACTAAGCCCAATCTGTATATTAATTTTTTTGGAAAATCTTATTGAAATAGACGTTATTATCGATACAGAGGCCGAATCTATAGTTTTTAGAATTTTTGTCTGTCTGTCTGTCTGCTACCGCATCATAGAAAAACCACTGGAGGGATTTTGATGAAATTTGGTATGGTGATAGCTGGCTACCCGGGTTAACATATAGGATACTTTTTACCGCGGGAAAATATCTAATTTCTGTGAAAAAATGCAAAAACTGCATATACTAATCTGTACAACCTAAGAATTTGGTTTTTCGTCATCTGAACGCGGGCGGAGCCGCGGGCAATGCTAGTATTATATATATTATGAATGATATATTATAAGCGTTACGATCAAATGGACGTAATATGTTATTTTTACCTAATTTTATTGTTTTCTACTATATTTTTAGATTTTAGAATATATCATTTTGTTTTTAACACCCTTGTTGAAACTTTCATATAGATACGTAGTACGGATAATCCGATTACATCGAACACGAATGGAAGCTAAGTTGGTAAATTGAAGCTATCGTGAAATTGGTAAGTGGTAACATAAAAGTATAGTAAGTTTATATAGGTGTAGTACTTTAAATATGTATCGTCGATACCTCGTTTCACTCTAAGACAATGCTACATAAATTTTGCAGTCGGTTTGATATAGGCACCTAATATTCTCATATGGTATATGAGTTGTCAGTAAGTTATTGTTACACTCCAAATAATATTTTTATGAATTAATGTCGGTGCAAAATGCAAAAAAGTACAAAAATATGAATAATTAAAATCAAAAATTTAGCATTAACCCTTAATTATTTGAATGTATGATGTTTAACCATTAAAATATATAAGATTTTAATAAATTTATTATTAATTATTAGTTTTAATTTATTTTTAAAACTTTATCGATTTATCATTGCAACAACTAAAAGTTATCAATATTTTTTTATTTTAACGATCATATAAAAATATTACTTCAGCTTCAGTATCTACGATTGATATTAAAATCTGCTTATTCTTTAAGCAATAAATAACTGATACAAGATAAGCTTCTTATCAAGCCATACAAAATATTAAACAGTCATTAACGGTTATATTTATATTCATTTTTATCAATGATAGAATATTTAGCATTCCAGTATGTTTGATAACATACGTGATCAATGTTGTTAACACCTCCAGATAAATTTCTAAGAAATTAATTAAATTTCTAAGAAATCAATTGTTAACTGAAACGCCGGCGTGTCCGCGGTTGTGGAGGGAATAATAGGTGCTTTGGAAGTGTATTATTTGTGTATTATAAAAATAAAATTTATTATATCACATAAAATATATTATATATAATAAATCGCATTTACCTTTTAAAACTAATGATTCAGTATCTAAAAATGGTTAGAAACACAACAAACAGTAAATATATGAAAAGATGTTTATAATTATCATACGAACGAGAGTACCTACATGCATTATAATATGTCTAGTTTATAAGGTATAAATATAAACAACTGAAATGAATAGCCAATCATAAAACATCAAATCAGACGCGTGCCGTCGCATAAGCAATTTAAAAATAGGTCGTACAGAGACACTCCCGAATAGGAAACCACTTGGTTTGGATGCTCTCGATCAAAGAACATCATAAACAACTGACAGTGCAGCCCATTAAAACAAAAGCCGGAAGAAATCGTATCAACGAAACTATTTAAAACGTTAGTGTTTAGATACAACAGTACAGTACAAAGTTTAAAAATATTTGTTGAGTATGAATATTTAGAAACAGAAACATATCTATCCCCCGGGAACCGTACATTTTTTTTGGATAAAAAGTAGTAGTAGTGTTATTCTGATGTGTGAGCTATGTTATTGTAAATTTTCATTAAAATCCATTCAGTAGTTTTTGCTTGAAAGGGTAACAATTATCCATACACTTATACATCCAGATAACCAGACATTTTCACAAAGTTTCGCATTTATAACACATATTATTATAGAATATATAAATTATAATTTTCATATTTCATAATAATTTTCATTTTTCATTTTATAATTTTCATCTTTTCGTGAATGTTTAAATATCTCAATGAATACAACTTATCGTGATAATATGAATATTGTTCATAAAACAATATAATATGAAAGCAATGATTTTTCGTATTAAACAATAGTAAATATAAGCCAACCCAGAACTATCCGGCTCCTTTTAGATTTAAAATATTCTTCATGGAAGCAACAAAACTCAAGTTCTTTTTTTTATTTGACATATCGATTTTCAATTAAGTTATATTTTTTTTAATTAAACGCATGACTCAATATTATAAAATAAATGTGACTACTTATTTGAAGGGAAATTAATAAGGGATCTCGTTTCTGGTGACACCAGTTGGCGCCACTGGCGAGTAAGGTCCTATCGCTGCCGTTAAAAATATTTATTAGTGCGGCAGAGCCATAATTTTAAGCTATACATATTATAATAAAATTCTGAGGCGAATCTGTACATTAAATATTTTTTGGGAAATCTTATTGAAATAGAGATTATTATTACTACAGAGGCCGAATCTAACGTTTTTAGAATTTCTGTCTGTCTGTCTGTCTGTTACCGCATCACGGAAAACCCACTGGAGGGATTTTGATAATATTTGGTATGATGATAGCTGGTTATTCGGGTCAACATATAGCATACTTTTTACAGCGAAAAAAAAATCTCATCTCTGAGAAATCGATACTCAACTTTAAAACATAAGTTGGGACGAACCCGAGCGAAGCGAGGGTGAATCGCTAGTATAATAATAATAATTGTTAACTTATATAAATAAATAGAAAGTATATAATAACCAAATAGATAAAATGTTTACTTTTTCTTAGATCTTCTTTTAAAGCAATAATATTTGTTGAGTCGTACTGTGTCCGTTATAATGAACCGGAAATGGCACAATCTTTACAATAATCATGAATAATCCTAATAAAAATAAATAATCATTAATTAATGTGACGATCCACGATGAAAAGCCTGCAAAGCAAACAGTAAACATTCAGTGTCATTTGACATTTCTAGAGACCTCACTCTACACTAGCGCCTCTCGCGGCGAACTCAAGAGTGTTAGTCCTCATTATGATAAGACAGTCTTAAGTATATAATATACGGTGTAAATATATCCAAATTTTAAGACTTACAGTATAAAAAAATGACAATAAAGGCATTACATTATCGAATAAGCCATTTGAACGCATTAACAGTATCTAAGTTTTACATTAAATAAAACAGAAGCGAATTAAGTTATAACAAGTAACGGTGTTGCTATTGAGGGCGAGAAATCTGGTTCGATTTTTCTTTACAAAGTTAATCAATAAAAATATTTAAATTACTGTCACGCCCATTACTATCGTTAATGTTAATGGCGAAAATGTTGAGTGGAGCAGCAATTGCGTGACGTGAGAGCATACTGTGTATTGGCTACTGTGC